CCCAGCACCCCAGAAAAAGACAGGGAGGAGAGAAAAGACCCAACAAACCGAAACATCTGTTTCTCACATTTCCATAAAAGGCAAAGAAATTGCTATCAAAATTATTGATTGAGCCGGGTGGTGGTGGCTCACACCTTTAATTGAAGTACTAGGGAGGCAGGGCCAGGTGGATCTCTGTGAGTTCAAAGCCAGCCTGGTCTCCAGAGTTCCAGGACAGGCTCCCAAGCTACAGAGAAACCCTGTCTCGAAAAACCAACAAAACAGTCATCAATCACCCCAGGCTGTGCTTTGCCTGCTTGGTTCAGATTCTGGTTTGGAATGGAATTCCCCCGTTTGATTAGTTTTTCCGATCCATTTCTTCTTTTTAAGATAGTATCTATTAGGTGGTTTTTGTTTTGTTTTTTTCTAATCATGAGTGATACATATTTATCATGGACATGTTGAAGACTGCAAAGAGAGTCATGTGGCTCAGACCCATCCAACACATCCTTCCTTTTGCCTGTTGTCATGGCGATGCTTTTTTCTCTTTCTTTGTTTTAAATGCCTGCTTCACCTGATGCTGTCCCTTTACTAATTTTATTTTTTAACTTCTGCTCTCAATATTCTGTTATCTCAAACAAAGTTCCATATTGTAAAGGTTATACAAGGAACCAGGATTTATTGTGTGATGTTCAGAAAGTAGTATATTTAGGTCTATGTATGCATTTTAACCTGTGTGTGTGTGTGTGTGTGTTTGTGTGTGTGTGTGTGTGTGTGTGTGTGTGTGTGTGTGTGTGTACGCGCACGCGCGCGCACGCTTGCATGCAAACCCACTCATGCAGAGACCAAGGCTGATTTTGATGTGCATTGCTTACACATTGTCACTGCCCTTTGCTAATGAGTATGGATGTTGCTACACCGTTCTAGCTACTCTGCTACCTAGAGTTCCAGGAAGCAGCAGAGAGTTGATGTGGTACTCATGGGATCCATCCAGGTATCTGAGCCACACACAGACTTTATGCTTGAAGCCAAACAGGCTGAGAAGGTTATCTCTGGCAGAGCACATGTTTGGAAAAGATGCAGGCATCAGCTCATCATGGCTGTGCCTGCTGAGATGGGATAAAAGCACTTCACACGCTGTAGCTTCACACACTGTAGCTTTGGTTTGGAATTTGCACACAAGTATCAGGTTTTCTGTGCACAAAGTACTTAGTATGATGTGAAAGGCTTTAAAGGAACAAGAAATTGTGGTCTCTGCATTTAAGCCACTGCAGTGTAGAATGGCCAGTCCAACAGGAGCTTGATACTTCAGCCACGCTGTGAACTTGAGCCCTCTTCTCATCATAGGCCACTCCCTCCCAGTGTCCCCATGGCCCGAAGGCCTCACCTTCCTGGGGCTTCCTGTGTCCTGTGTGTGCTCCTGTGGTTCTGTGATGGTCCCTTGCTCAGCTCCTCTCCCTCTCCCTTGAATGGTGATCAGGTCTCCCCAAGGTCTGTAGATTTCTGAGCACACTGTCTCCACTCAGTTGCCTTTCACTGCTCTTACTGGTAGTGTCACTGTGAGTCGTTGACTTGTCTTGCCAGCTCCTCCCCTTTTGGTCTTACAGTCACAGTGTGACATTGTAACACCATCCCTCAGCTGTGGCATTGGATGCCTCCAAAAGGTGGGAGAGCCAAAAGAAAAGATGGTGGTTGGTTTCCATAGCCCGTGGGAGGGATGGTGCTTCAGGCAATTAGAAGTCATTCTGTATGTTCATATTTCCCCCCTAACTTGGCTGGCTCAGAATGCAAAGCAATGCATCTCTTAGCCCTACAGAACCATGACAAGGGTAAGATGCCTTTTGTGCAGACTCAGAGTTCCTTTCTGTGGGCATGATGGCCAAGGGCAACAGGCCCTCCCTGCCCCTTAGGGTTAACCTCAAGCACACGTGTCAGTGATGACATCTGAAAAATATTTTATGTAGATTTTGTTGGTCACCCCTGTTCCCTCCTGCACACCCAGAAGCAGCGTTGGCTGCATATTTGGAAGTCTGTTGCATGGAGGTGGCAGACCTACCCAAGGTTCCTGGGTCCCCTAAGGAAGCAGCCCAGGGCCACCGTATGACAATGTTTCAATGTCACTGCGTGCCCTCATCAGCCACTGCTGCCTGCAGCCTGGGCCTGTTCTTGTTCAAGTTCTGTGCTGAAAAAGGACTGAATTCATTTGTAGACTTTGTTTCCCCTGTTTCTGCTTCTCCATTCTTGTGGATTTTTTTTTCTTTTCTTCCTGTTGTTCCTTTCTCACTTTTTCTGTTTTTTGTCCTCTGCTTGTTTTTATTTCACCCTCTCCCTGTCCCTCTCCACCTCCAAATTCCTCTCCTCCTTTCCCTCTTCCTCTCTCGTCTTTTCTCTGTTTTCCTCTTCCTTGTTTGGTCCTTTTGAAGTTGAGCCCAGTGGCGGGACTCCACGGCGTAGACCTCTCTCCTTCTGCCCTTGCTGTGTCCAGGAAGGTAACGTAACCTCGCCCACTCGTCCCCACTGCCGCAGCCACCATAGTCCAACAGGGAGCCAAGGCCCAGCAGTTGCTCCTCTCTCTGACTTCAGAATGTCATGAGTATGTGGCAGTTTCTTACAAGGCACAGTATCCCTTTGACTGTCTAAGGGAGGATGGGAACCAAGGGAAGCCAGAGAGCCTGTGGGCTCCAGTGTCTGCAGGCTGCAGTTCTCCTGCAGTTCTGCCTGTCATTGGTGCTTGGGGCCTTGGGGCCGGTAAACTCAAGGGCAGCATACAGAGGGACAGGGACAGGGGGGGGACACCCCTGTGACAGCAGTTTGCATTGACAGAGTCAAGGAATACTGTCCTTACAAAGACTGGTCTACACAAACGCCCCCGAGTTTTGTTGTTTTCCCCCAGATCAATCACTGAAAACAAACTTCTCTACCTTGTGTCTTGCTGAGTGTGTCTTGTTTTGTTTTAAGTTTGTCTGATTTGAAGTCTGTTGTGGTGATAAGATTGCCGTTGGCAAGGCATGTGGGCAGGGGGAAGGGGTGTGTGGCCATGACTAACCCTGCTAACCTCTTCTCTGCTCCCCATGGCTCTCACACGTGACTACCCACCCTACCACATCCCCTTGCTCATGGGCTATGACTGAGCTCCAACATGGCTCATGAGCAGTGTCCCAGTGT